TTCACCTGGACAGGTAACCGGTCGAACATGTCAATCAGTATTTCCAAAGCCCAAGATGACGCCTGAAATGATCTTGTTTTGTCCAAAATCCCAAATCATTCAGCTTTCTGTAAGGAAAGAACCAGAAAACATTCACGTGTAAGAAGCTGGAATTAAAGAATGTCGTCAGTTTTTTGTTAAAAACTGCTGAACTAATTATCAAACTCGCGGGTGGTTAGTTTCATATCTGTCTATATATTTCATACAGTTTCATGGATTAATCGTCACAGCTCTCGTGGGCTTTGATCTTTCTGATATAAGTTGTGTGAAAAGGACCAAGAAGAAGCAGGACTGTGAGATATTTATTGTTCCACCCGGCAGGTGAACAGCACAAGGTCTGTTGGGTCTCTTTGGCGTCTGGCAGATCCTCACTGATAATAACACACAGTCTGTCTGTTCAGGGATTTAGACCTGCAGGTCAATGGCAGCTGTGTCATCGAGCCGTCTCCTTCCTGGTGCGAAATGATTCTGGATAGACTTTATGAAGTCGCGTCCGTTGGTGTCAAGTGCACTACGACAGTCAGGCAACAAGGAGAGCGAGGAGTGATGGCTGCCAGTGAGTCATCCACCTGGGTGCTGAGTGATGTGGGTAGGTTCAACTGATGGTAACCACTCAATCTGACATTTCACTATGTGTCATTTCTGCTGAACACACAACACCAGACCAGAAGCAATAAGATGTCAGACAGTTAGTAGGTCGACCCTGATGTTCAGGATGTTTACTGTTGTTTTAAGAAGAACGGTCCACATATTTCCCTTCTTGCTGACTACAGCCAAACTGCTTGTCTTCATTACAGGAGGTTCACCCTCTGGACAGTTGTCATAGAAATACACAGTCTGCACCAGATTTATTCAGACTGTGACTGTTCTGGTGAACTGCAGGCTTTGTTCACAAGGAGCAGAGAGGAGTATGGGTAGAAATACACAGTATAAATTAAGTGATGATAGATTTTAGTAACACCTGTAGTATATATGTGGTGAACAGCTGTGAGCCATTTGGACGTATTGATTCAAGTCTGTGGTAAATTAAAGAAGTTCAGTTTTCATTGACATTTTTCTCTGAGTCCTGACTCTGTGCCTCTCTGTTGGTTGTGCCCTGCTTGTGCTGCTTCCATCGAGGTGCACTGCTTGATGTTAGAGTGAAAACAGGCCCACAGTGAGTGAAAGTGTGACAGGAGCTTCAGAGGGTTCAGAAAAGTCCAGAAAACCCAGCGATGACCAGAGTCATTCTGACAACTTCCCCAACTTACCTGAATTGTCGTTTGTTTGAAAGTTTCCAGCCATCTGCTTCACCCTCAAAATGCTAGAAATAGTGTTCAGCTGCCATTTGTGGTGCAGAGCGTGGCTGGCATGCACACATTTTCATTTTCATGATGTCCCCCTGGGACTTTGTGTTCACAGTGAAACCTCCACCTCCTTTCAGTGTTCAAGTGGCCGACGTCGATGAAGTCTACAACATCACGTGGGACAGCAACACAAGCATCTTCTATGGTCTAACGTACATGATACGCATAAGAGAAAGTAGAGATTTGTTAAAGGTAATGAATGGGCAAGAAAACACTCAGATTGAAGTTTGACTTGAGATTCTGTGGCAGAACACGGTTGTCACAGTTCATTTAGAGCTGTTGTGTTTTGTTTCTGCCTCTCAGGAACCAGTTGTTTCCCTGTCTGTGACGGAGACGTTCTTTTCGTTAAAACACAAGATACTGGAACCACATGTCAGCTACACTGTGGACGTTCAGGCCAGAATATCTTCTGGGCTCTATCGGGGTCCCTGGAGTGAGTGGAGTCCTGCTGCTGAGTGGACAACAGCAGGAGCCTCTGCAGCAGTTGAAGGTAGAAGAGCTTTTGAGCTTCCATGCTGGAACCTCGACAAAATGAGCGTCTTGGTTGTTTTGTGTGCGTCTGTGCTTCTGCACATATGAACACACTGTGAAGCCTGTTCATCATCGTCTCTCAGTGCATATTGGTCGTGTTCTCTTCCAGGAATCGCTCGATCCTGGTGGTTCGTGTCGCTGCCCATCGCTCTTGTCCTCTGCCTCCTGTTGCTGGGCTATTTCCAGAAACCGTAAGTACTCTGAAACGCTGGGATTTCTTGGTTTGAAATAAAAACAACTCAAATCGTGCTTAGCGACACATTTCTCTTTGTGTTTGCACATAACTGAACCGTCGTTAGCTGCAGAGAATCACTTGAGAGGAAGCAAATGAAGACTTAAGGTCAGCAACGCTTTGTCTTCCAGTAAATGATTAGCAAAGCTTCTCAGTGCTTCGATCTACACTTTCCTGGCATCACCTCCCACATATAGAGAAACCGCTGCAGCGCTGTACGTGCAGCAGCTCATTGCACTGAGATGGCTAGCAGACATAGGAAGTCCTGCAGAGCATCAGTGTTACAGAACTGAGAACACCTCGCCTATGAAGGGCGCACGCTTACAAGAAACACACCCAGAACAGTTCTCAGTGTTTTAAGCTGCTCTGCTTTAGTTTGCATCCATTTCAGATGAACATATGTTTCTGTTGTGATGTATGAGGATCACAGCGTCTGGTTTTGCTCTTTGCATTGAAGGATATTATTAGCAGCTGCGTGTGCATTACACACATCTGAATGGGTTCACTGAGAGTCTGTTCAGGAAGGCTGAACTTTAGAGAGGCACTGATTCACCTTCAGGGTCGCGCTCTGAGCGCTAGAGACCAACACCAAATGACAAGAAAATGTGAATAGTGTACCACAGGCCCGTTGCTTCACTGTACGGCCATCCTGAGTAGGAAAAACCCTGACAGAGGGGAAATATCAGCTACAGCTCTCAGTTCAACACCTCTGCTAAACAGCTCTCAGAACATGTGAACAGCTGAACCTTCAGGAGGACCGATGCTCTGCAGCTCAGTTGATATAATAAAATAAATGAACTTTTATTGTCCCATTAGCTCAAGACATTCATTCACGGCTGTCCAGAGAATACAGTCGAAACCACACCGTTACTGCCTGTACAGCGATACATGTGCAGGAGTGCTGTCATCACTGGTGCTTTTGTTCAGTGGATTCGTTTTATCTGCTCAACAGGACTGTGTCGTTGGGCTGACTCAGTGCTTCGCTGATGCTCTCTGAACTCACACTTCCTGTCTCTCTCTCGTAGCTCCCTCAAATAAAGGCGTTCATTGTTTATAACAGTATTTAAACATCCGGTGTAGATGTGAGATAATGACTGACGTCTGTATGTATCTGGAGCAGCACAGCGTTTTATTGGACACCTCCCAGTGTTTCTCCTCCATAGGTGCCACCATGTTCTCAGCTGCTGTCGTCTTTTCTGTTGCTGTGGCGGCTCCTCTCTTAAGCTGCTTGATGAGCAGACAGAATAATGTAGCGCTGGCAGCGTGATCAGCATCATGTCAACTTGGATGGACCTGTGCTTAAATCGGAGCATTACTAAAGTGTAATCTTGTTTACTCAGAGTGTTGTACGGTGTTGTCCAGAAGGCGTGTTGTGCAGCACATCTCTTCATCCTCTGTCTGAAACACTCTGCTGTAGCTTCTGTGTTTGTGAGGCCCTCCTGAGAAGTCCAGTCATGCTCTGCTCGGTCTTCTGGTCCAGCGACAGACTAATGAGGAAATGAGGAAATGATGTCAGACTGTGAGGGAGCTGCTTTAGCCGCTAGTCCCACGCTTCCAACGAGGCGTTTCAGGCAGGTAGGAGCAGCGCTCGATGTCGGAGGAACAAGTGCTTCTCGCCTGGACTTCAGGCGACATTTTATGAGCACAAAACACAGAAAAGGAAAGAAAACCCAGCAAGCAAACTCTGGGCTCTTTAACATGAAGACGCTCTCACTGCAGCTGATGTACACTTTATTCACCATCCATCCATCATCTATACACCACTTAGTCCTCACTAGAGTCATGGGGGGCGGAGCCTATCCCAGCTGACTCAGGGTGAAGGCAGGTTCACCTGGACAGGTAACCAGTCTATCACAGGGCTACACTTAGAGACAGACAACCAAGCACACTCACATTCACACCTACGGACAATTTACAATCACCAATTAACCTCAGCATGTTTCTGGACTGTGGGAGGAAGCCGGAGAACCCGGAGAGAACCCACGCTGCACGGGGAGAACATGGAGACTCCACGCAGGAAGATCCCGGGTGTCCTCACTGGGACGCCAACCGGCGACCTTCTAGCTGTGAGGCCACAATGCTAACCACTGAGACACCTGCAGCCCCACTTTATTCACATTTCTGCTAAATCCTCAGATTTCTAATCAGGCGGCTGGTTGGCGTCCTTACATGTGGCATCAGCATAGCTTGTGACTGCTCCAGCTTCGGCCAGGTGTGTCTAAATACCTGGAAACAGAGTGTATGCTTCTGGCCTGTTGAGCACCTTTAAGCAGCACTGTTTGAAGAGCTGTGGGACAGTGTCTGCCTGTTGCTTTCTGTGTTGAGGATATGAGCCAACGCACCGAGCTGCTGTGTGATGTCAGAGACTCCTTCAGCGTGTGAAACTTCAGTTTTAATGCTTCACTAGAAGCCACATTGAGTTTAGGCCAGAATGGTCGTACAGCGTGTGATGGGCTCTGTAAAGTACCTTCAGCTCATTGTGCTGCCCTCCTTAATGCAGCCGTCATCGCTCTTTACTGAAAGGTTGAGTGTGGGTTCTTTATTATCACAGATCTCACTGTGACTCATGCCTGAAGCTCAGTCCTGTTTGTACTCTGCTATCAGCATTACTGGATATGATTTAGAAAGCTGTTGTGTCTCGTTCAAAATGTCAGCCCTGCACAGCTCGCATATCGAAAATGAAATCTGTTGCAGTGACACGACGCTGACGTATAAATGTCATCTTTCATTCTCCGTCTCTGTTTGTTCTTCTAAAATCATTTCACATTTGTTTCAGATGTTGGCAGAAGAAACTGGAGCTGATTACATACGTCCCCAAGCCGAACGAGTTCTTCAAGCCCCTTTACCACAACTACGACGGGAACTTCAGGGTAAGAGGAAACATTTCACTTTGTGTGTAATTTCCAGTGGAGCCCAGCAGGTGCTGCCCTAGAGGGGACTTTCAGCACATCTGGACCCAGTCTGCGGGGGCTTTCCCTCGTCTTCACGCTGAAGGGCTTCCATGATGTGAATGAGTCACTGTGCAGGGGCTTCAAGAGGCTTTTCATGTGTCTGCTGTGGGTAGATATTTGTGTATGACAGTCAGACCTGTTCCACCCCAGTGGAAAATACCCCCGGTGCTTGTAGTTGAGCTCTTTGATTTGCCGTTGTGTCATTCTAGAAGCAGCCTGTTTTCACCTGATGGGGACACAGAGGCACCACTCGGTGGTTTGGCTCCTTTCTGTTTGACTCACGGTTTATCATTATCTGCTTCTGCCATTACCTTTCGTATTTCCCCCTCATGTAAATTATTCTTTGTCTCTTTCTTCTTGAAGTTTGCTATGTTTTTTTTTTTTTTTATCTCAAAGCAGATTGAATGCAGACTGTGTTTCTGAATGTGTAGGCTTCAAAGTAATCAGATTACAAGCTTCTGCCCCTAAACAGAGTTTAAATGTGTCTGCTTAGTGTAAGATTACTTCAGACAGAAAGACAGGAGGGTTTGTTGTGTTTTACTACAAAATGAGCAGGAGTCTGAGCATGGTCTGGTGTCATGTTGGTTCTGGTGCTGGTCGTTTATTCTATACCAGCACCAGAAGCTGTTTAGTGTTTGTAAATGTACTGGACAGCAGCAGTAAGAACATCCTCACGTGTCTCATTTTATTCAGCAGTTCTGTTTCTGTCTCACTTCTACTGACGTCTCAGACAGTAAAGCACAACAAACATGTGTGTGCAGTTACACACATTGTTCAGCAGAGAGCGCTGCTGCAGCAGCCGTCAGAGGACAGAGCAGCAAACCAAAGTGGTTCAGGTGGCACAAGGACAGCTGACCAAAGTGCTGCTCACAGACCTGTGAAAAGGCAAGACAGAAAGTAGCAGGAAGGACTATAAAACCAGCTTGTTAAACAAAATAAATATTAAAAATCTATTCAAAACAGGACAACAACTTGTGAGATCCATTTCTAAAATATAATGAATGTAAGATACTAAAATAGAGCTCTAAGAAAGTTGCTGAAAACACGTTTGTATGCAGATGTTTGTCAAAGTTTTAGTAAAGTAAGAAAGAAGAAGGCTTCAACAGTTCATGGTTATTTCATAGCTGTTTTCCACCGTGGCTGGTGTTCCCCCTTCACCAGCCTGTGGTCAGACACTCTCCACGTGTGTTCACGACTAAATACGTTAACATAGTGAATGTCGCCAGCCCTTCATCAGGCAGAGCAGCAGCTCATGGATGAAGTGACAACGCTGTGCCCATTTCATGATGAAGGCCGCAGCTTGTGTTGCATCATCAGTACCGACTGGGTCAGAGGGTGAGACTAAAACAAAACATGTCTAAAGTGTGAAGTTTCCAAAAAGAGCGTCACACGTTCAGGACTTGAGTCGCTCTTTCAGAGTTTGTCCTCGTTTGCCTGCACCGTCTCTCACCCCTTTGATGCAAACTGCTTGCGTGCTAGAGATGGTTCAGTGATGCTGGGGAGCTTTGTGCTTCAGGATGTGGTGGTATTTGCACCAAGGAACAGATTCATGCTTATCTGGGCATCAGCGTGCTGCACAGAGGCTACAGGTGACTGCACGAGTTGCTGTGAAGCCTCACACGACTGTGGAGAGAGTATATTAGTGGTACAAGTCTTTGGCTCCTTTTCTTCAGTAAAGGTACCATACAGCAGCGTAAAAACCATCCAGTACGAGGAAAAGTCCTGCGTGAACATTCTACTGAAGTAAAAGTACACAAATGTCAGCAGCAAAATGTTGTTAAAATACTGAAGAATGCTCAGACAGATGTAGACATCCAGAGTCACCGTGTCCCCGGACGTGTCTTTACTGGGGAACTGGTCGATGCAGTATGACTTCCATCATCCATCAGGTTTGCATTGAACATTATGATCCTTTGCAGTGGCAGCCACTTGTTGACATTGTGCTGAGCCTTGTGACTACGTTTAGGTGCCCAAGTGTCTCAGCCAGACTTGTAACCAGCAGGCTGGTGAAGGGTGAAGACCAGGCTCTCTCCTCTGCCATCAAAGCCTTTGTGCACTTTTCATTTTGAAGTGGCATTTCTCAGACTGCCCCAGTTTACCAAAAAGGATAAATCAACACACACACACACAAGATAGAAAAGGATACCAAAGAATAGAAACACAAAATATCAATACAGTGCAGATAAGTACGGCTGTGAAACACTGGAGCTGCAGCAGCATGTTGGTGGAGATCAGAAAGAGTCCAGGGCTGGATGTGGGCTGTGTGGATGGGTGGGGGGCTGCAAGGGAGAGAGGTTAGCATCCCGGCAGCCTGCTAGACGGACCTGTCTCTGACTCTGAGGCTTCCTGAAAGCAGGAGGCTGAAGAGACGGCTGTTCAGTGCTTTGCATTGAGTGAGGCACGAAGGTAAAGTCAGGAAGCAGAGGCACTGCTGGGCTCTCCTGGCCAGTGACGTGGTGTTGTTGGTCCAGCTGAGGTCCTCAGTGATGCTCACCTGCTCTGCAGCACACCTCTGGTCGTCACAAGGACAGGGTTTCAGAGGTGAGCTCTCCTTAAGTCACTTACAGCTGGACATGGGCAGCTGGCTCACCTCCTGCCTGGTGCATCGTTGTCGATGGGTCGGAGCTGGAGTTGGCTCTGAAGTCATAATCAATGGGGTGAAAAGCAGGGGGCTGAGTGCACTTCCTGGGGGGACCCCCATACGCGGTGAGATGATGATTCAAGTGTTATTTCCAACCCGTACAACTTGTGGTCTCTCAGTCAGGAAGTGACTGCGAGACCAACAAGAGCGTGATGTATATCCAACACTGTTAGCTTTCCTCTTATCAACACAACCATGGTGTCGCGTATGCAGGATGTGAAGCTGGAGCCAGAAGGTATAAATACATCTGCTCTGTTCACACTAACACACCTGAACATCGCTGTCAGAATCTCTTACAAAGTGCTTTACAAGCAGGAAAGTAAAATCAGATGAACCACAACTCTGTGTATCTAGAACTATCGGTGTCGGTGAAGGCGAAACACAAACAGCTGGTCATTCAAAGGAAGTCAGAACTCCAGTAAAATCAGGAACGAAGGGACTTCAGAGGTCACTGACTCTGAAGGTTGTTCCAGAACCTCAGGGCCCGGCCTGCAAACGGTCAGCCTCACTAGCACCGACTAGTTTATCTACATGTGCAGCTAAACGTCAGTATGACAGCTGATCGTGTTCATCTAACTGTAGCGAGACAGCATCATGATGAGATGAATGTGGGTGACTGTGCAGCATCGTGTGGATGTAGCTTCACTCTTTGCACGACAGATTCTTCCTAAAGTCTTCTTAGTTTATTGTCACAAGTTATTCAGGTGAATGTCTTCTGTTTGCTCTGTTGTAGGAGTGGGTGAAGCCTGTGTTCAGCGAGTACGACTACTTAAGGATCAGCTCCAGCGCTCAGGTGATCAGCGAGACGCAGCACGACATCCTTCAGTGGAACAACAAGAAGCAAAGCTTCACCGAGGACAGCGAGACGAAACCAGGCGGAGGCTCTCTGGTCAACATGCTGCAGCCTCCCAGCAACCTGCTGCTGCACCTCCAGGACGGCGGCAGCTCGCAGGGCACCAGCCACTCCACAGGCCACATCTCCATCCACACCGTCACCCTCTCCGGGGAAGAGTTTGAGGAGGAGGTCTCGTCACAGATCTCCATAAACACCCTGAGAAGTTACCAAGATGGAGAAAGCTTCGGTTCATTTGAGGAAGACAACAGAGAGCCGGCCGGCTATGATCTGGATGGACCTCAGATGGACAGGATGGCTCGACAGCACGACATAATCAGCGGCTTGTTGGTGGAAAATATCCACTTTGAGCAGCATGCCCACTTTAATGAACCAGAGAGGGTGTCGCTCGACTCGTTCGTGTCCAACGAGCAGTCAGAAGACGGCTACCCTCACGTGGACTTGGACACCATCGACAGTGGGTTTGGAGAGTGCAGCAGCCCCGGCGCCTCGGACTCGAACACGGCAGAGCGCCTGGACTCTGATCTATTCCAGGAGCACAAAAACTCAAACTATGTCAAGCAGTGGATGGTCTGCAGCACGGTTCAGGAAGACTGCGGCAGCTTGGAGAGTGAAGCCCACGAAGCCCAGTGACCACAGCTTCTGATTGGTGTCTGTCGTGCTGTGAGACGTGTATTTAAAACATGGACGTGATCGTGAACGTTTCTACAGCAGCGTCTTGTATATAGTCTAGTCCCCGTTTCTGAAGCGTTTTCTTCTGACCTCAGCTTTTCAGACATGAGAGCGTGAATGGATGTGGTGCGAGTCTGACAGCACAGAACCAGATGTTCTACTCAACACAGTGTCAGATGAGACACTGAGGACTCCTCAGAAACACCGCGTGGAGACGTTGCTGACATTTCTACAGCTGATCAGTGTTTTTTTCCTTCTTTCTTTCTTCATCATGTCACTGTACAGATTCACATTCTCATGGTCTTGCACGCTTCAGGGCTTCAGCTGTAGCACGAGCACACATGCTGCCTTATCAAGATGTCTGATAAAGTCTGTTTTCCTCCACATGCATTGTGGCTGTAACCACTGTTACCTGTTTTTGTGCAGTGTCAGTAAAAAGTGCAAACTGTTCTGATCTGTCAGCGTGAGGTGATTATTTCACTGGCTTTGACTGGATTCATCAAAAGGAAGTCGAGAAAGCCGCCAGACAAACTTTGACAATCTGTGCTGTCACCTGACGTTATGAACAGACTGTTGTCTGTGTTTCATTAAATATACACATAAACATGTATGTTTGACATGTGCACTTGTCCGAGCAGTGGTTTTAGTTTCGTGTTTTACTGGGAAGAACAGAACCTAAACGGGCCCACTGTCTAAGCTGCTGTCTGCATGTGTGAGGGTGGATTGTTCCTACTGAAGGCCTCCTGGTGGCAGCTGCTGTGGGAGGGGGGTGTTTGACATGTTTCCAAGCCCAGTCCACAGTTTCCCTGCCAGCTAATGTTCAGTGTTGTTAAAGTAGAAGTCTGCCTCTGCATCCTGTATGTACGACAGCACAGCTGAACATCGACGCTACGCTCCCACAACACTTCAGATCATACAGTCTACATCCACACACAGTTCCTTTTGTCAGCATCATGACTTGTTGTTTTATTTATGTTTTTGGCTCTGGACTGGACTCAAGCAGTGATCACGATAAACTGCTGAGTTTGAGCGTTCAGCCTGATTCCAGCTAGGTCTCCATGGTAACTGATGCTGTGGAGCTAGGT